TAGGGATTAACGGTTTCTCAGCTATACCGATAAGTTACCAGGGAATGAATCATTAACAATGTATTTCAGAGTATAAATTTATTTACAATAAAGGAATCGAGAGTAATTAGACATGCTAAACATGCACTTATTGACTTCCTTCTATCTAGCTGAAATCTACGCTAATTATATATCTTTCGAGTGGACTAATTGATCTATTCTTAGCAACTATTTCAAATACGTCACTGTTTATAGCGTAGCATCACATGGGCGACCACTGTGTTATAGATCAATCTCGTCAGTGGGATATTTGTAGTCTATATAGACTACAAATATCCCACTTAGTCTGGACTATAACCATCCCAATGGGAAGTAGCACTTAAATCAGTTAAAATGGAATCATTTTTCATGGAATTAACACCTAAATCAGTTAAATTTCATCATCATTCAAGTGATGACAAGTTTGCATTTGCATCATCATTTGATGGAAAAGTCAGCCCGCTACAAAGTGACAATGATGAGATGAAAAAAATTTCGTTTATTTATCCACGTGAGATTTTTCTGTAATTATGTATTCAAATAAATTCATGGAGAACCAAATAGTTTATGTATCTTGTTCATAATTTTAGACCGATCAAGAATATATTGCCATTCTCTTTTTCCACCACCTGCTCGTTGACGCCTAATGCCAATTTGCGAAATTTTTTTACCAAGAACGGTGTTACTACATGGCATTCATCACAGTATTTTTCGAAAAGTTCTTCCAAATTGAAATCACCCATTGTCAACGCATCGTTTTCCACGTTCCCAGCCATAGACCACTGCTTTTCGCAAATAATTATCGGCATCATCGGCATCACTGGTACCATCAGTTATAATATCTCCATTATCATCAGATGTTTCTTTATAGTTGAGGCCTTTTTGCACTTCTTGATAATCTTGGCTTTCCGATGTTCCCGATCGAACTTGCGTAACTGCACTCGAAAAAGCGACTTGAAGGTTGTTACGCTTTTCTGTTATGTATACAAAATTTTTTAATAATAACAACCTTGTAACAATAGTAATAATTTAAGCCAAACATACCAGTTCGCATACTATTAAATTCTGCATCAGAATATTCCTGTAATCCTCGTTGTGCTACTTTAAATCCCTCTTTCGTTATTTGGTGAACAGCTTGCCTTCCCTCCTTCTGTTGTAACAAAGTCGACAAAAACTAAATATGAAGTCATCGCATGCATCAAAGATTTATGGAGGCCGAACCTTATTAATTTCTAATTTCAAGTCAACTATATAAGACTTTGCCTTCAATGAATTAATTTCATCCAAGTTTTCCCAAATCTTGTCATTTTGGTTGTCTTTCTTCTATTTATAAAACAAAAGACACTTAGTTCAATTAACACCTTTGGATTATATAATTTTGGAATAACTTGTTTATAGAGTGCCACGGATTCTATCCGATCAACGTTTTCATGTCCACGCGCACTACGGAGCTACCTGTCGATCTTTGCACACGGGAAAGACCTTCTCAACACTTCGGTTACCAGATTAGTTATTGAGTACGCTAGCACACCAATCAGCAAAAATACTTTCCTTTATTTTGTCCTGTAGTTTGCAAGCCCTTATATGAGCGAGATTCGTAGAATTGAATTTCTTCTTCAAGCAATTTAACTCTTTCGCTAAAGCTTGGTGAGAAAGGCGTTCACAAATTGGCTCATTATGTGGTTGTTTGATCCAAAACGCGTCCCAGTCGTTTATACTTCCCCAAGTGTTCGGATCACGATCCCAATAATCTACCGAACAAGGTTTTTTTTACTGTTCTGTTTGATAAGAATAGGAATAGACACGACAGACTCACCTGGATATCTCAGCAACAGACGAGCTTCTCTTGACAAATACTCCATATCACATGTTGACGAAGTTTGATATGATTGGCTAATCAAATATATTTATTTCATCAATATGATCGTACTAGGTGACGTATTGATATTAGCGATTAGAATACTAATTAGCGATCATCGATGCTTTATACTGTAGTAATGAACTTTTATTCACCTCGCTAAATATTATATGGAGCTGACACACATAAAACATGCAATCTCATATGGAGCTGATGCGCATAAAACATGCAATCTTATACAGAGCCTGAAACATGCAAACACAGACTATATGATGGATCGCGGTCACAAATTGTTATCGGTCACATTTGCTGCACACATATTTTAATAGTCTTTCTCACGAGCAAAATAAATTCACTTGCAATTCCATGTAATTCGAATTTTTTTGATACGTTCCGTTGTCTTTGTAAATGTTAAACAAAATTGATATTAATTCTATTATAACATTGTACAATCACATCCTAAATTTTCTATTAATTAAAATTATTACGATAATAAAACAGCCATCCCCACAGAAATCAAAATGGCTTCGCGTTTTGGAATCACGTGCTTGTGACAATTATCAGCCAAGAAAATATTCAAATAATTTTTTTTTTTTTTTGAAAATACAGCTGAAACCGTTGAATCTTTCCTGATGGACCTCTTCCTTTTGTTCTCCTGCGAGATCACATTATAGTAATGATAAATAAACAGACATGATGTTTGCTACAAGCTGGTCGTTGATACTTACCCAAGAAATGAGCGCAAACCGAATTCAATGT